CATTAGGTAGATGTTCATTCTGTTTGGGAGGAGAATGGCTGAGCGCCCAGGGAGTCAGCAACACACTCAGTTCCTGCATGAGTGCGCTGTGGGGATGCGGTAAGAACACAGGGCTGTCTGCTACAAATTGTGTTTTCCTGCTGGGTGAGGTGGTACATGCCTGCAATCCCAGAGACTTCAGAGCCTAAGGTGAGGGATTCAAGTTAGAACTCAGCCTGAGCAACTTAAAAGAGACCCCCATCTCAAAATAAAATATGAAAAGGACTGGACCCTAAAAAGGGTTCGGTGGCAGGAACTACCCCTCCACACCTTGTTCTGTCCGAAAAACCAAACAAAACCCCTGCAGTTTCCACTGAATCATATTTCTTTTGGTGCTGAGGGATGTTATAGAAATATCTGCATGAAATACCTGGAACCAAACTATCCATAAGCCAATGTATAAGACAGCAAGAGTCTGGATGTCTGAAAATGAGCTCAGCCTAAGGCTCTTTTGCAAGCTCTAATCTTTGCCTAAACAAATGGATATTGGGAAGCGATCATATCCATCCACCATTTGGGTGAAGGGAGTTACCCAATTTTCATCTTGAAAGCACTATGAGCCTTAACAGCAGGGCCTCTGGGTCATAATGGGAATGCATATTGGGGATCTTTCCTTGCAGTATTATGATAATGGTACTCTGGGAGGTACCTCACGGAGAGTCAAAATTGTGGAGACAGAGGGTAGGAGGGCATTGCTGGGAGATGGGGAGCAGGGAAAATGGGTCAGTGTTTAGTGGGATCAGAGTTTCGGTGTTACAAAATGACAGGCACAGCATATAAGGTTAACATTCTAGAAGTGTGCACTTAATAGTTAAGATGATGAATTTTGTTATGTGTATTTTACCACAGTAAACAATTGGAAATTATAGCAACAGTTCCAGCCTTGGGAGGAACAGAATTCCTAAAAGGGTAGCCACTCCACTAGTTCCCTTAGTCCCAAACATCAGCTTTCAAGATTCATTTTCTTGTTCTTGGGAGTGGGAAAGTAAAGCTGTTAAAGACCCATGAGGGCTGCAGCAGGGCCTGGGTGTCCTGGCCAAGTCAGGGAGTTGGAAGCCAGAGGCGGCTGCGTGCTGGGCAGCTGGGGCCTGTGATTACCCATCCAGAGAGCAGAGAAAGGGACAAGAAGAAAGGAAAGTTAGTGGAGGGGGTCGAGGTTGGGAAAAGAGGAGGGCAAGCTGGGAGGCTGACTGTCCCTTCTAGACAAAGGGCTTGGCAGAGATGAGAACACCAAACACCCTCTGGACAGATGGGTGCAGCAGGGCCCGCCTGGGCCTTCCACAGCCCCTGCAAACAGTGATCCTCACTCTTCCATGCCCACGAGAACCCTGGGCTGGCCCAGGTCCCTCCTAGATGTCACCACCAGCCCCTCTGCAGAAAGGAAAGCGCTGCGCAGGCCCATAAGCTCTGAGCACTTGCCCCTCTGGGTCTCAGCCTGGGGAAGCAGCCCGGTCTTCCCAAGCGAGCGCCTTCCAGGCCGAGAGGTGAAAGGGCAGCCTGGAAGCTGCTCTCCAAGGCTCTTTGTTTCCACAGTGTTGAAGGGCTGGGAGGTGGGTTGGCCTACGGGGCGGGTCCTGGGCTCTGGACCCAGAGTTCCGCCTTCCCAGAGCACCTCCCCTGGGACACTGAGGGCTCCCAGGCCTAGGGATTTCTTCCTACACAGTGGAGGCTCTCTTGAGCTGGGGCTGGAGCTGCAGAAGGTGTGCGGGCCTGTCACCTGGTCCCTGAGACTCATGACATGGTTGTTCTGCGGACTCCTTACCTCAGGACAGGGACACCCCTAAACCCCTCTGAAGGGTCTGGACTCTAACTGAAGAGCTGGCTGTCGCCCAGGCAGCTAGCATGGGGCCATCACTACCACCAACAATAACAACACTATCCTCTACCTCGAGAGCAGGAGCTCCTCACCACGCTTGATTAAGTCACATAATTAGGAGCCACTTTAATGAATATTATTACATTTCAGGCGATTTCAAGAATGTCCTTTTCTTTTCCATGGGAGGGCAAAATAAGTATAAATGAGGTATTTGAGGTTATTAATGAAAACGTGAACAGTCTATTTGGGGTTCAGCCATGTGGCTACCAAGCATGCACAATACTCCTCTCCTGCAGCCAGGCCTGCCAGCCTTTGGGGTCCTCTGGACTCGTGCAGTGCCTGCCGGTGGCTGCCTGTTCCCACTTGGAGGCCAGAGAGGGCCCAGCCCTCCCTGGAATGGGAATGAGTTAGTGGAAAAGGGGTCTGCAAGGGGACTAGAAGTGTGGAAGCGCCGGCGTGGACAGCCCAGTGTCCTCATTGGCGAATTCTGCTTAGCCTGACGGCTCATTCGAGTTTCCAGTCGCTCTCAACCTGCCTGCTCACCGCAGCTCCTGCCCGGGAGGCTGCAGTTTTAGCTGCCCAGGAGGCTGCAGTTTTTGACGGAGCCGGGACTCTAGGGGCGCTGGGAAGCTGCGGAGCAAGCGGAGGCCGCCGAGGTCGGATATTAAAGCAGCGGGAGACAGAATGACTTTTCGTAGAGCCCGAGTATTTGCATATATAGTGTCTGGGTGTTTGCCGGGCACACCTGTGCCAAGCAGCGGGGAGCCCCTATAGATTATACCAGGTTGCTTGACTCCCTCTTTTTGGGAGAAAGCTCGAGGCAGGTCCATCCAGAGGACAGCCACTCAGACCCTGACTCCAGGCTGCGGGCCTCTGGGCACCGGGGCCTCGCAGGACCGTTTCCGTAGGCGCTGGCGGGACAGGACCCCAGAGAGCCTCCCTGTCTCTGCTGCACGATGCAGGGCAGCGGACTCAGTTCCACCAGGGCCGGGCAGGGGACACAGCCAGCTGGGGGAGGTGGTCACTGAGCTCCAAGGAGCAAGGACTTAGGCTCTTTAGAAAGCAGCTTCCCTCTGTGGAACGCTTGAGAAGCCCGCCTCCTGCGGAGCAGCCATCTGGCTGGGCCCAGTGGTCGGGCTCCTAACTCTGCCTACGCCCAGTGCACGGTTGTCCAGCCAGGGCTTCGGAGGCCCGGCCAGATCCGGGTCTCCATTCGCCCTGATGAAAGCGAGTTGCTGGCTTGCAGGCTTAGGTTACCGGCTGAGTAAGAGGTAACAGACTGAGGCCAACAGGATCTCCCTGAACTCAGTTCCATCCTTCATGCGAGCCACAAAAGCAAGCCTCTCCATTTCACTGTGAGCCTAAAGTCTGTTTGAACATCTCCGGGGACAGGAGCTCATTACCTTACAGTGCTGTACATCGCCCTCACCAGTGTCGATTTGAGAACGGATATGTGAAAAGATTGCCTGAGGTTGATGCGCTATTTTTTTATTAAAATGAGAGAGGCCAACAGAGTGATAGAAGTTGTACTAGTATTTTTGTTTTGCTTTGCCTCGTTTTTTAACATAAGAGCCTTCATAGATGTGTTGAAGTCGAGGTCTCCATTGGCCTGTGTGATCCTGAGGTGCTTGGGGTGACCCCAGCCCTCTCCAGTTCGCGTGGGCTCCAGCTTGGCCGCTCCAGCACCCCAAGGTTGACTCCCACCCCCAGGCCCTGCTGCAGGTCAAACAGAAAATGCCTAAAAGATTACCCTTGGCAGTAGAGGATCCTCAGGGTCTCCGAGTTTCCCTCACTGAGAGAACTTTTTCTTTCAACCCGATCAAGTTTGGAAATACAGCAATGGGCTTCATGCACCTTGGACGGCACTCCTTGAGCTTCCCTGACTCTTCTGAATTTTGTTTGAAATGCTATACAACAGCTTTTACTTGGAGGAGTAAAAACAACAAAGGTGAATGAAGATGACCCAGAAAAGAGAAGAGTTCCTGGGTCTCAGCTCTCCAGGAAGGAGCAAAAGTTCCTCCTCCCTGGAGAGTGCTGCAGTCCAAATGCATGTGAGCAGAGCTGGCAGCCGAGCTCCAGAAGCCTGTTGAACTCTGCAAGATTGAAAAATTCAGTCAATGAGCAGCTGGATAGTTGCAAACAATTCCTTCTGGTGATGAAACGTGGACATAAATTATTTTGGTTGTTCTGTGCTTACATGAGAGATATTAAAAATGTATTACTTAAAAAAATAAGAGTCTAGGGCTGGGGATTTAGCACAGTGGTTCCGCTGCCTGCCCCACAGTGCAAGATCCCAAGTTTGATCCACAGTACCAAAAAAAAAAAAAAAGTACCTCTAGTTACAAGCATAGGTAGCCTCCCTGCTGGGGGCGCAAAGCCAGGAACACCAAACCTTTGGGAGGGTGGCCCAGAAATCAGCTGGACTCAGAAAAAGGAAAACTAGTCATTTCACCTGGACCTCTCATACTTTGTAATAAAGAGGTGTTTCTTTTTATTTATTGTAACTTTCAAAGAAGTTAAACACACAAAAATGCGCCGTGGGGTGGGGGTTGGAATGTTCACAATTTTGATAACCACAGTTGTAAATAGAAACATTCATTTCTCATAAGATTATAAATATTTGATACTCCAACTGTAAAATGCACATTTTATAAACTAAACTAAACAAAAACAAAAAACAAATTTGCTTCCTGCTAAAAAGGCTTGTCATTTCATTCAGTTTTCTAAGCAGCAGATGGTTATTCACACACTTTTAAATTACAACTTTTGTTTTCATAGTTTCCTTTTCAAAAAGGTTTACACTATTATGTACAAATTGAAAGTATTATTGAAGTGAAATAAAGAGTTTAAGGCAAAGAGAGAAGTCCGCTGCCACCCCCAGTGCTCAGCTGGGCCATGGGCACATTCCCTGGGCAGCCCAATTCTGGCCTTGATGAACATTTGGACACCTTTTCTGGACACTAAACAGAAGACAGTGTGGTGTTATATATAATGTGTTTGTTCATATATATATATATATATATATTATATATATATATATGTACTTGGTGGGGACTATATTGAATATATTTAATTTACACTGTACCACACCTTTGAAAAATAAAATGTACATTTTCTATTAAAAAAACAAGAAAAGACAAAACGTGATAAGAAATAATTTTTTACACCTTTTCTTCTTTCTAGATAGATACCAAAGGGGTCTGATTTTGAGAGTCAAGGTAGCCACAGGTTCCACAACTGTGGCCTGATGCACTCCTGGCATGTGTGTGTATATGCTTACACAAATATGTACACACACATATATTTATCTGAGAAGAACAGAAAAAGTGGCCAATCTAGAAAAAAATGAAAGGAAAAAGGAAAAGGAAAGGAACACAATGCCAACTCCTTCTGCCCATCCTTTGGCAAAGACATTGTTGGGTTTCTGGACTGGCTAGCTGGGTCCTGGAGAAGGGATGCCCCAATCCTGGGCTACACACCCTAGGCCCTCACTCCAGTGCCTCTGCAGAAGAGCTTGCGCTGGTAGGTCATCACAGAACAGGGCACAGCAGTACAGACATAGAGAAGTACATAGGGAAGTATGGACCAGGCCTAGAGGAGGCTGAAGAGTGGGACAGCAGGAGGTGGACTGAGAGGAGAGGGGCTGGGGAGGCTGCAGAACTGGGCGGAGGGCAGCAGGAGGCCGGCTTCCCAAGACCAGCCCTGGTATCACTGAGAGGCAGCTTCCCAGACTGAGACGGGGAACTCAGCCAAAGGCCCTTGAGTCCCCTATTTCTGCCAGGGCCCACCAGCTCCTGAAGGCCCAGGCCCCAGGATCTGGATTTGGGTCTCTGCTGTCCTGTCCAAGCCAACATAAACAAAGTGGCAAAACTCATAGACCAAATAGGAGCTGTTTATCCTGTTCACAGTTGTGTGAGATGCAGCAATAAAAATCTTTGGACTTTAGCAAGTTGTTTTAATTTTTTCTTCTTTTGAAATAATAATAATAATAATAAATGTCCGATGTCCCATAACGGAGCTTAGAGGACTAAAAAAGATGAAACCCTAAGCAGCCCCTTTTGCAAAAAAAAAAAAAAATCATAAAATTAGCATAATCTCATAAACACAAAAAAAGCAAAAAAATATTTTGTAGTCCGATATTTTGGATTTTACAACACCTGTAAGTTATATACACATAGAATATTGCAGAACCATAGCTAATACACGATATTTTCATGATTAATGCTGGTATAATCTTTATACACTGGCCCTTTATGATTTTAAATTATTGCATTATTTTGCTGGCCCACAGGCCTTGCCCACCCTACTCCTATTCGCTGTCCGACTTGCCCTCCTTTGCTGTGGTGGAGTGGTTGTACAGGCCTTGGGCCATGAGGTGCACGGCCAGCGTGTTCTTGTTGCCCGTGGCCTTCTTGATCTTGGCGCGCTTGTTCTGGAACCAGATCTTGATCTGGGACTCGTTGAGGCTGAGCTCCTGTGCTAGGCTCTGGCGCCGCTGCTCTGTCAGGTACCTGTTGGTCTGGAACTCCGCCTTCAGCCTCTGCAGCTGTTCAGCGGTGAAGGCTGTGCGAGGCCGCTTGTCCTCTTTGTTAGGATTCTTCTTCTTTGGTTTGCGGGACCTGGGACCTGGATGAGGGGAGGATCAGAGAGGACAAGTTGCCGACTGCTGCAGCAGGGAGCCTCCTTCTCAGCAGAGGTTACCAGTCCCTGCCTAGGGCAATAAGGTCGAAGAGACTGCAAGAAGAGAACGGACCAGCTTTCAATCACTGAGGGCTGGATGGCAGGATGATTGAAGGTACCCTCCCCCTCGCACCTCCATGCCAGGAAATGTGGGAATATGGTGGACCAGGGATAGGGCAGGCTGGGTAGGAAGGCCACAGTAACCAGAGAGCTCTACATAAAAGCAAATCTCCAAGAGGTAAGTGGAAAAAACTTTCTGGTCTTTTTGGCTTTTTTCTTTTCCCTTCCTCCTTTCTGTGTCCCACCCCTCTGGAATTAAGAGTAGGGCAGGGGGTGGGAGAGAGCTAAAGGGGTCAGATTGGATAAGGGGGAGGCAGGCAAGTAGGAGAAGCCCTGGCCCCCTGAAAGCCCCCAGGGAACACCCCATAGTGTGCCAAGAACAGGAGGCTCCTGAACTAGAGGGGCCCATAGGGTCTTGACACCCTAACCCCCTCTCTGGACTCCTCCAGCTACCCTGAGGGCCCCTTGAAGAATAGATGGAGTAGAACTACCCTTCCTGGTAGGGAAGCTGAGCCCTGGGCCTTGCTTGGGTGCTGACCACAGGAGCTATCCACTCCCCACCTCCCCAGACCGAAGGCAGTCCAGCCCACCTTGAGAAGGTCCACACTTCTGACTCCACCCCTTGCCCAGAAGGTGCCGCTGACCCAGAATTTGGCCAGGGTGGTGGGTATGTTAAGGCCTGGGGCTGCGATATAGAAAAGGATAAGAGTGACAGGGGCAGAGAGAAAGAGCTAAGGGGCTATTTTTTTGGCCGATATCAAGACATCTGCCCCCAAGCTCCCGGAGTGCAAAAGGCTGCCCAGGCTGCTGGCAGGGAGTGATGACACTGCTTCCCCTTCCGGGGCGCTGGCCCAGGTTAAGAGGCCAGAGAGGCAGACCCATTTAGCAGCAAGGTATAGCTGGGTCACTGGGCGAAGTGGGGACAGCTGGGGTGCAGCCCACCCAGACCAAAAGGGTGGCCAGGAGGCCAGGCCATGCTCAGCAAGGGGGTAGACCTTGCCGAGGCTAATGGTCCCCAAGGCTAGCTCAGCCTGGCGCCTCGGAGGTAAACCGGGTAGAGGGACTGTGGTAGGCACGAGGGAGGCACTAAGGGAGTGAGTGCCAGGAGCAGCTTGCTCTCCGCTCAAACTCTTCCTTCCTTACTTGTAAAGCGCACCCATATTCACGCCCACGCAACACGTGCACCCCCCCTGCTCCCACCACACTGTTGTGTAGGGGCAGGCTCCCCACCCGTGGGTCTGGCCTTGCTGGGGTTCTGGGTGCGGTTTGGCCCGAAGGGGCCCCGCGGCGGACAGGAGACGGAACTGGAGACGCGGGAGAGGCCCACATCCCAGCACTTGCTCTAGATTACCGCGAACCGCGGCCAGAGCTCCTCGGCTGCTCTGGGTCTCCATTGCCGCCCACCCCACAAGCGCTGTCCCTACCCGCAAGCTCCTCTGTCCTGGTTCCTGTTCAAGAACACACTAACCACCTCAAAAAGACACTATTTTACGGAAAAAGAATCATCATTTAAAATTTCATTTTCTGTCTTTTCTTTCAAAAGGCAAACAGGAGGATCGGACACAGACCCAAGCCTCCAAAAAAACCCTTTCTGTCCCATTTTTGCTAAGTGCCCAGGAACACAAACATTACTTACAAGGGGTGGGGTTGTTTCAACCCAGCAGGGACCGGGACCGGGCTGGACCGGTCAAACAGCAGGCTCCCCAGGCCTGGGCCACTGGACTCCGCGTGGGCAGGCGGACGCCTACAAAGCCCAGAGAGGCTCCCGGCCAGTGCATTGTGAGCCTATATGTTAATTAAATATTAACAAAGGAGGAAGCCGAGAACAATGGCACAAATATCAAGTCTAGCTGGAGAAATTTGGATTTCACCAGAAATACACACAGAGACACGCTTCTTCTGGAAGGCAGCCCCGGATCACCTTCAGCTCCGGTCTTGCTGTAATGTGGATCAAGAACCCAGCAAAGCAGTTGAGGGTTGGGGGACAGAAGAGGCCCCCTGCCAGCTTGGGGACCAACACAGCTCACTCCTAATGGTGCTTCCCAGACAGAGACCCTCCTCTAGTGCAGGTGACTATTTCTACAAGGTCATGGTGGACTTAACTCTTTAAAATCATATATATATAATATTTTATAACATATTTATAACAGTATATATTATATTTTCCCAGAGCCTGGCACACCGCCTCTGAAGGCTTCTTCTTTCCCTCCCTCAGAACACTCAGCAAGAACCTTTTTATCCTGGGAACTTAGGTCCTGGAACAGTTGTGTCCTTTTACAGACTACGTGCAGGAAGCTTCAGCAAATAGCAATGGGTGAGAACCCTCTGTTTTCATCCTTCCCTCTGCAGTCCCCTCCCCAAGCCTGAGCCTAAGGGAAGAGGGGTCCGAAAGACAGGCCTTGCTTCTCTTTCTTGAACCACAGCTTGGGTAATCAGTTCCTGGGACGCTGGAACTGCGGGTGGTGGTGGCTTGAGGTGCACCCCAATCTGGACTGAGCTGGAAAATGGGAAAGGAGTTCTGAGTGTGCCTTTCCGGGCCGTTTTCTAGCCATCTCTGTTCTTGCCAAATAAACTACCGTTAGGGGAAGGGGTGGGTAAGGAGCTTTGCAGGGGCTGGGTAGAGGAAAATACGTACGGTTTTGAGAATATGAATTTGGCTTTTGAGGTCCTAAGGGAATCTGTGCCCCTTCCCAATCATCCCTGCCCTGTGCCACCTGCCACTACCCATGCTAGTGTCGGCTGCCCATGGTAGTGTTATTGTGTGTGTGCCAATTGTGCGTCTTTGTGTGCATGTGTGCATGCGGAGGATGAGTCACAAGTTCCCCACCAGCGCCACTCCCAGCCCCACGCACCTCCCGCAATACCCAGCGCTGGGTTCTTCGGACTCACCTGAAGAAGGCCGGTCAGAGTAGCGCGTGCAGTAGACCCAAGCCGGCCAGAGCATGGGCTGCGCGCCCAGAGCGGCGCTGGCCTGCGAGCTGTCCGAGTCCGAGCTCACAGACAGG